TGTGTGTGTGTGTGTGTGTGTGTGTGTGTGTGTGTATTTTTTAGGGAGAGCTTCAGAATTTCTCTTCGATTGCTTGCTTGTCTGTAGACTGAATCCCTGGGCCAGAGCTCTGGAGCTAAGGGCAGCGACACAGGTGCCTGTCTGAGTGACACTGCTGCCTCAGGGTGGGAACAGCAGCCTCCGGCCTTCTCGGCCTGCCTTTCCCTGTGGGGGAACCTCCTGCTGGGGTTTGAGTGGCTGGGCCCCAGTGTCCCTAGCCCTCCTGCCAGATAGGGCTTTTGCCCCGCTGCGCTCACCTGGAACTTGGGCCTCCCTCCGTGGCTGCAGGTGGTGGAGGTCTACTGAGTGAGTGCTGGCCCCACAGCTGTGAGAACGAAGACAGGAGACAAACTTGGATTTCAGATCTTTGTTTTCACTTTTGAATTAGAGATAAGGGATGGTGGGCCTGCATTAATATTTCCACCTTACGATTTTGGAAGAGGGTGCATATCCTAAGGCCAAACAGCTGGTTGTGATGAGGCAGGGGTATACTTGTGGGGTCCCTGGTCCAGAACCCTTCTCAGCCAACCTGTGCTGGACTGCGCAGTCTCCAGGACATGGCCTTGGGGTTTGTGGTTTATGCTTCTCTGGCCTCCCAGGTACAGATGACTGCACGCAGGCCTATGTATACTTGTCCTCTGCCTCTCCCTGCAGGTGCTCGTCCCTGTGGCCTCCATGTTTAAAGCGGAACGTGTGTGCAGAGTGGACGCACCTCTCTTCCGGAGCCTCTTTGGGGCCACGAGACCAGGCACTGTTTGAGCGGACACACCGCTCTGTCCTGTGCACCTCAGGGCCTCCTGTGCTGGCCATGCCTGTGCCCACAGAGGGCGCCCCTCCGCCCCTGAGTGGCACCCCCGTTCCAGTCCCAGCCTACTTCCGCCACGCAGAACCTGGCTTCTCCCTCAAGAGGCCTGGAGGGCTCAGTCGGAGCCTCCCGCCCCGGCCCCCTGCCAAGGGCAGCGTCCCCATCAGCCGCCTCTTCCCTCCTCGGACCCCGGGCTGGCACCAGCCCCAGCCCCGGAGGGTGACATTCCAAGGCAAAGCCTCTGAGACCCTTCAGAGCCCCTCCTATGACCCGAGCCGGCCAGAGTCCTTCTTCCAACAGAGTTTCCAGAGGCTTGGCCGCTTGGGCCACGGCTCCTATGGAGAGGTCTTCAAGGTGAGTGGGGTGACAATTCCTCAGGCCTGCTACTGCCACCAACTCCCCCCCCCCC